GGAGATTAAATAAATTGATCAAGATCACACAGCTGTTAAGTACTAGAGGTAGAGGTAGGATTTCATCCACAGGCAATCTGAATCAGGGCACTAAACTACTATATTAACAGTTCACCAAAACTGACAGTCTGCCAGAAGACAAAATTAAAACATACTTTAGTGGCACTGAGTCTGTGTATAATTTCTCCAGCAACACCTACAAATTGATATGCAGGGATCCTTTCCTGACTGCCTGTTCAGGTGATGTGATAACCCTCCTTATGTCCTCCTTCTCCCTGCCTCCTGAAAAAACATACCAGAGAACCTACCTCCATTTCTATTTCATCATCCTCATTCTGTCCTGCTCTCAGCATAGAAACTCTCTCCAGTCTTATCCTGTCTTCTCATCTCCCCAACTCTACCCACCTTTCTCTCTCTCCCTTTCCTTTTAGTCAAATTTCTTGCAAAGATCCTCTAGCATTTGCTGCCTCCACTCTCTCTCCTATTCATTCTTCAAACCACTACTTACCTGAAGTAGATTTTCGGGAGGTATTCAAGGACATTTTTATTTCCTTTTCTCTCTGAGATAGTTAACAACCTCCTTTTTGAAAGTTCTTCCTGTGGTTTCCATGACATCTTTCCCCCTCTCCTTTTCTTCTTTTCCAGAGTATTTTTCAGACTACTTCCTCTTTTTTAGTCCTTCAGTATTTTGTTTGTCCTTGGTTCATCTTCCTCTACCATCCTTTTTTCCCCCACTATTTATTAAATTTTTTATTTTTTTATTATTTTTATTTTGGTATCATTATATACACTTATATGAGCAACATTGTGGTTACTAGATTCTCCCCATTATCAAGTCCCCACCACATACGCCATTACAGTCACTGTCCATCAGCGTAGTAAGATGCTATAGAATCACTACTTGTCTTCTCTGTGCTATACTGCCTTCCCTGTCCTCCCCACTCTACATTATGTGTGCTAATTGTAATGCCCCCTTTTCCCCTTATCCCTCCCTCTCTTCCTACCCATCCTCCCCAGTCCTTTTCCCTTTGATAACTGTTAGTCCATTCTTGGTTTCTGTTAGTCTGCTGCTGTTTTGTTCCTTCAGTATTTTATTTGTTCTTATTCTCCACATATGAGTGAAATCATTTGGTACTTGTCTTTCTCCGCCTGGCTTATTTCACTGAACATAATACCCTCTAGCTCCATCCATGTCGTTGCAAATGGTAGGATTTGTTTTCTTCTTATGGCTGAATAATATTCCATTGTATATATGTACCACATCTTCTTTATCCATTCATCTACTGATGGACACTTAGGTTGCTTCTATTTCTTGACTATTGTAAATAATACTGCAATAAACATAGGGGTGCATATGTCTTTTTCAAACTGGGCTCCTGCATTCTTAGGGAAAATTCCTAGGAGTGGAATTCCTGGGTCAAATGGTATTTCTATTTTCAGTTTTTTGAGGAGCCTCCATATTGCTTTCCACAATAGTGGAACTAATTTACATTCCCAACAGCAGTGTAGGAGGGTTCCCCTTTCTCCACATCCTTGCCAACATTTGTTGTTGTTTGTCTTTTGGATGTTGGCCATCCTAACAGGTGTGAGGTGATATCTCATTGTGGTTTTAATTTGCATTTCTCTGATGATTAGCAATGTGAATCATCTTTTCATATGCCTGTTGGCCATCTGAACTTCTTTGGAGAAGTGTCTGTTCGGATCCTCTGCCCATTTATTTCTATTTTGGTATCATTAATGTATAATTACATGAGCAACATTATGGTTACTAGACTCCCCCCATTATCAAGTCCCCACCACATACCCCATTACAGTCACTGTCCATCAGCATAGTAAGATGCTATAGAATCACTACTTATCTTCTCTGTGTTATACTGCCTTCCCCGTGCCCCCACCCCTACATTATGTGTGCTAATCATGTCCCTTTTATCCCCTTATCTCTCCCTCTGACCATTTTTAAATTGGATTATTTGCTTTTTGTTTGTTGAGGTGTGTGAGCTCTTTGTATATTGTGGATGTCAACCCCTTATTGGATATGTCATTTATGAATATATCCTCCCACACTGTAGGATGCCATTTTGTTCCACTGATGGTGTCCTTTGCTGTACAGAAGTTTTTTTAGTTTGATAGAATCCCACTTGTTAATTTTTGCTTTTGTTTCCCTTGCCTGTGGAGATATGTTCATGAAGAAGTTGTTCATGTTTATATTCAAGAGAGTTTTGCCTATGTTTTCTTCTAAGAGTTTTATGGTTTCATGGCTTACATTTAGGTCTCTGATCCATTTCGAGTTTATTTTTGTGTATGGAGTTAGACAGTAATCCAGTTTCATTCTCTTACATGTAGCTGTCGGGTTTTTCCAATACCAGCTGTTGAAGAGGCTGTCATTTCCCCATTGTATATCCATGGCTCCTTTATGGTATATTAATTGACCATATATGCTTGGGTTAATATCTGGACTCTCTATACTGTTCCACTGGTCTATGGGTCTGTTCTTGTGCCAGTACCAAATTGTCTTGATTACTGTGATTTTGTAGTAGAGCTTGAAGTTGGGAAATGAGATGCCCCCTGCTTTATTCTTTCTTCTCAGGGTTGCTTTGGCTATTCAGGGTCTTTTGTGGTTCCATATGAATTTTTGAACTATTTGTTTCAGTTGGTTGAAGAGTGCTGTTGGTATTTCGATAGGGATTGCCCTGAATCTGTAGATTGCTTTAGGCAGGATGGCCATTTTGACAGTATTAATTCTTCCTACCCAAGAACATGGGATGAATTTTCATTTATTAGTGTCCTCTTTAATTTCTCTTAAGAGTGTCTTGTAGTTTTCAGGGTATAGGTCTTTCACTTCCTTGGTTAGGTTTATTCCTAGGTATTTTATTCTTTTTGATGCAATTGTGAATGGAATTGTTTCCCTGATTTCTCTTTCTGCTTGTTCCCTCTACTGTCTTTTAATGGTTGTGTTTAAATTCTGCCCCTCCCCCCCTTTTTACCCTTTTTCTAGACCATTCCCTCCCTTCTCATGACTTGAACCACTATCACTAGGCCAATGGCTCCAAAATATTTATCTATAGCCCAGCTATCTCTGCTGAATGCCAATAAACATGAGACCACATATCTACTAAATATTTCTGCCTGGATGTCTCACAGACATTTCAATCTCAACGTGTCCTTATCATTACCTCCTGCCCAAATTTTCTCCTCCTCCAGCTGTTCCTAGTTGCCATAGAACTTCTTTAATCTTTATGTCCTCACTTTTACAGTAGAGCCTGGCACAAATATGTCAAAAGATGTTTGGTAAAGAAATGAGTAAGCTTGAGTGGGCACATGTCTGTGTGTGTGATATCACTTAGGAACTTTTTTGGCTAAGAGTTACAGAATAATTACAGAAATAGGCTATCTTAAGAAAAATTGAATTTTCTTAGAGCATAGTGGCTAAAAGAGTCTTTAGGAGACAGGAAAAGCATGCTTGGAAAATGAGGAAGGAAGACACTCTCTGAAGTCCAAAATTTAGGAGGCATAACAATTTTTCAACAGGAACCACCTAGCAAAGATACACCACTTATGAATGAATTCTGACCATCCCTTCATCTTTGCATCTTGTGATCAAGAGTAAAGTCTTTGTAGGCTGTACCTAGTGGCCAAGCCCAGGTCACAAGAGCTCACTTATCTTGGTTGCTCATAGCCACGTTTTCCATCATGAATATATCCAAAGGAAGAGACTCCCAGGATGAGTGAAAGGGTTCAGTGCTAGATAACCAAACTAATATGATACAGGCCTTTTATTATACTCATTTTTCAGATAGGAAATTAATGCTTAGGGAGCTCAAACAATTGTCCAAAATCATCTACCTAGTAGGTAGCTGACCTGGTATTCATTCCCAGTGTAGCAGAGTTCATGCTTTTACCTATTCATTGTGTGGCCTTCTAATCTTACACTTGTCTGAATCTGTACTTAATTAACTTCCCAGATATAGGTGTGGATAGTGTATTGTGCTACTTTACCCTCATATCCTCTCCTTTCCTTTAAGACTTAATTCCATCTTCACCTTACCCCAGGAAGAGATTGATGTGGAATTTTCACTTCTTGGAATTTTCAGGGCATTTACAAACTTGAGCCTTTCTAACCCTGCCCTTGATAATTCACTGTATGATATTTAAAACAATTGTCTATCTCTCTGTCACTCTTTTACAACATAATCTCAGAATCATAATTTTTTTCAACTCCCAGAATTAGGTATTCAGCAGGTGTTCAGCAAAGGTTTGTTAAAAGGAAATCAGGTATGGAAAGTGTCCTTTCAGTTGCACTGGAGGCCTCTAACTGGTGCTTAGGAACTATTGGGGTTCACCTAAAGATGGCTTTTCTTGTCCCTTCTCATTTTTTTTTGTTAAAGTATCATTGATATACATTCTTATGAAGTTTTCACATGAAAAACAATGTGGTTACTACATTCACCCTTACTATTGAGTCCCCGCCATACCCCATTGCAGTCACTGTCCATCAGTGTAGTAAGATGCCACAGAGTCACTACTTGTCTTTTCTGTCGTCTCACTTTTTTTGTATTCTATTGAGGTATAACTTTTTACTACTAATCATGTCCTACGCAACTGTGTAAATAAACAAGAAAAAAAATTCCCCAAGAAAGAACCTGAGCTTCTGGGTCACTAAGATCTCTTTTCTGATAAACTGGGTTCAAACTCTTCGTCACCTCTTATTAACTTCAGAACGTTAGATAAGATATTTAATCACTCAGAATCTTTGTTTTCTCATCTGTGAAGTACTTGCTTCATGAAGTTATTGTAAGGATTGAAACACACACACACACACACACACACACACACACACTGCCTGGCATATCTTTTTTAATCCTCATTTTGCTTATGAGAAAACAGACTCAGAGAGGTTACTTGCTAGGTTATCACAGACTTGCTTTGCACACAATACGTATTTGTTGAAGTTTTATTTCCAATTTTTCACTTACAAAGTTTCAATAAATAATAGAACACGTATCATTCCAAACTTTGCCAATGTTTCTAGTCAATACATTTATTCCTAAAGTTGAGTTGCCGAGTTCAGCGTGTTCCATATTAAAAAAAAGACGCTGTTGCAATTTGCATCCAGTAGACCCGCAAGATAGGTTTGTTTTGCGAATTTCTTCTTCGCGGTGCATTTCGGGAGGTGTAGTCTTTGTGATGCTTGCTGGGGAATCGTGATCTGAGCCTGCCTAAGGAAGCAGTCCGGGAGGCACCTTCCACGAGGCGGGCTTTAGGACCCTGCGGGGGCACGGCAGCCGACTGGAAGAAGGGTCGGGAGAGGTCAGGAGCGCGTCGTTGAGCCTGGAGCAGCCGCGGCATTTGTGGTGTTGGGAGTGAGGGGGTCCAGGAGCTGCGCGGGTGGTGGAGCAGGACTCCGGGGTTTCGGTAAGCGGCGCCGGCCCGGGCGGGCTCCACACCTGGCCAACCCCTGCGGATCCTGCCATACTAGGCCTTGGCCCTGAGGCGGCCCTGGGGGCGGGGCCTGCACCGGCCTGGGGACGACGGGGGTGACTACGGGGAGAGGGAGGGAGGACAGCTGCTGGGGCGGGCTGAGGCTGCGTTTGGCTGGGAGGCTGGGCCCGGGGCGGCGGAGTGGAGCGTGAAATGGCTCACTCCTCCAGCGGTCGGTCCCTCCGACCATCCGATGCCGGTCATGTCCTTCCCAGTCCCTGTTGGGCCTTCCTGGCAGCTGAGGTGCTAACCTTTGACTCCAGCTCGGGCCGGATTCCGACCCCTCAAGCTACCTCGAGAGCCTGTCCTCCCAGATGGTTCCTGCCCCTTGGTGGTCTTCAGTCCAGCATGGCCCCGGAGAGGGTGTGGGGCGAGACCTCGGAGTAGGGCTAGAGGAAGGCCGGGCTGTCCGAAGTAGTTTTCAGGTGTCCCGGAAGGGCCCCCGTCGGGTTCTCTATTTTCAGTCCCTGACCGACGGGCTTTAGGCCACCCTTCACACAAAATCAGTGAAGCTACCATGTGGTCTCCGGGTTACTGGGTGCGGGCCTGGGAAATGAACCTGTGCCCAGGCAGCTGTGGGGAAGAACCAGAGAAAAACAGGTTCCCGGGGAAGGAGAGTGTTAGAAGTCTGGACGTGCTGCTTCTGGAGAATGGGAGAGTAGAAACTTGTCGCAGCCCCAATAAATGATTCTGGATCATCAGGTGCCCCCTTCTCCACGCGCCCCCCACCCCCCATGCCCCCCTGCCAATTCTTCCTCTAGTGAGAGCTGTTTCTTTGCCATTCTGAGCTCTCAGTGACTTTGTAAACCAAGGCAAATACAGTTTATGTCCCTACCCTTTACAAGTTAATTAGTATTATTTTGGGTGTGCCTTCAGATGGATTTGTGTGCACAGTACTTCCTATGTGAAGGATTTTGGGATGTCAGACCAATCACTTTTTTAGAGAAGGGTGGATCCTTCTTGTTAGGATTGTAAAGGGGGAATTCCCATTTTTTTCTTAGTGAATAGGGAAGCCTTTAAGGCTTTTTCATTGGAAAGTTTGACATTACAGTTAACTCGCTCAACATTTGTATAATGATTTAAAGAAAAATTGAAAACTCAAAGCAGTTACGAAAGTTGAAATTTCTCATAAAGCCAAGTTCAAGAATCCATCAAATTTGGGGAAAACAACCAAATAACAAGTTAATCCAGGGTATGTGAGGGTGAACTGTTTATTCAGTACACATTTATTGAGCACTTAACTATGTAACTGGCACTGGGGTTAGAAATATGAGTATCTTTCCTCAAGTATCTTTTCCTCTCTGATATATCCATATGGAATTGTAGTGCTGTGTGTTACATATCCATATAAAGGATATTAAACAGTAGGAGGGGAATACTGCCATTGCCTAGGAGACCCAGGAAAATCTTTGCAGGGAGGAGATACTCAATTGGGTGTTGAAGGATGAATAGGACCTTGCACAAGTAAGGAAAGGCATTCCAGTTGCAGAGAACAGCATGCATAAAATAAAAGCATGGTGAAAATGTGAGGGAAAGAAAAACAGATGATTTTTAAATGTGAGAAATTTGTCCCAAACAGAATGTGTGGTGGGGAAATTGCAAAGAGGTGAGACTGAAAAGAGGGTAGGAAGCCACCCCCTTTTTATATTAGGGAGTGACAGAAGTACAGATTAAAGTAATTAGAGATTAGGCAGTGAGACTAATTAGAGTTGTTACAGTTGACTGAGAACCTGAATGATGTGTGGCAGTGGAAATGAAGAGGAGGGGAATATATTTCAGAAATATTTCTGAGATAGATGCAACAGGACTTAGTGACTGGGTACAGAGTGTGCGCTAAGGTTTCTAATTTAAGAGATTGGGTGAGTGGGAATTTCATTGACCAGGATGTGGATTAGAAAACAGCCGATTTTTAAAAGGGTTGGGATGGCTATGGAAAGAGGTATACAGGAGATAAGTCTGGTCTGCTGAGATCAAGTTGCTTGTGAGATGTGCACATGGAGATGTTAGGAGGCAGCTGAAAGAAAGGAGGCCAGATGAGCTTAATATCTTGGCAGTAGCTATGAGTTAAGTGAAGGTATATGTGAAAAAAATCCTGGGAAAAAGTAATTTGATCTTGTTTATTTTTAAGTATCCGAATATGCACTTTTTCCATTTAATAGTGAGTTTCTCAACTTAGTAATTTTGGACCCCCTTTTTGTCTTACACTATCCCTGTGTTATTATAAGGTCTCGATAAATGTTAGTTATTAAGCTAGTGGGAAATCAATTTACTTTGCAGGGTTGCAGTTACTTTTGGGCTTTCTGTAAGAAGATTATAGGAGTGTGTCTTGTAACTTTCATTTTATACTTAGGTGGTATTCATGAGGCTTGTATGGTTCAACAGGAAAGAAAATGAAGAAGATGTGAGTGACTGTGCAGCTTGAGGAATTTCAGGGCTTGAACTAGGAGATAGACAGTATTAATTTACAGAAGCTCCTGCTCCTTGAGAAGAGGGTCTTACAGTGAATTCTCATTCTGGGAGATGTCAGAAAAATGTGATTTTCAAGCAGAGTTTCCTGAATCCTGTCAGTTTGGAGTCGATTCCTCCTTCTGAAGATGTAAATGGATTCCTTCTTTTTTTTTTTTTTAAATGCATGCCTTCTTGTGTAAAATAATTTGAAAGGGAACCTGAGGTAGTCATGTTTATGTAACCGTCTTCATCTGTGTTATTAGTTTGTGCAAGTAGGCAGACTCAATAGATGCTGATGGGACTGCATTAAATTCTCTTTTGTAAAGCTGGTTCACCTCTAGTAGATACAGACAGTGGTTGATACCTAGAATAGAGATTGGCAAATTCCTGATTTTGCCACTTACTGCTTAGTCTTGGGAAAGTCCCTGAATTACTTCCACTTTCAAGTATAGGTTAAACACCTACTCTGAAATGAGCACATACAAGATGTGGATGGTGCCTGATAGTGGCTCCTGTGCCTACTGAATTAGACAGTAGGTTCTCGCCTACTATCTAGAAAATAGGGGTGATGCTTGCCAGACAATGTCCTCAGTTACTGACTTTTCTTGAATAAAGTGGGAATGTTGATTTTATAGATATCAGATTGGAGTTTCCATAGAACATTAACTGAACCTGGATTTTGAATGTTTTATTAGTCAACACCTGTTTTTTTTGCACTAAAATTATGGTAGGTAGAAGGACTACCAGAGAGAGATTTAGTGGCTTTACTACTCACTAGCTATGTAACTTTGGGCAAAGTAAAATACTCTTTGTAAAATTATGGTAATAATACCTTCTTCATCTGGCTATTTTAATGATTAAATAATGTATATTTAAAGCACTTAAAACAGTGCCAAGTGTATAGTGAGTACTCAGTAGTGTCATTTGTTAGTATAGTGAGAGAGAGGCTGTACTCTGAAAGACTTGGATGAGTGAGTGATGAATTCCAGCTCCAGGAATTAAAAAAAGAAAAGAGATAGAAGAAGAGTTTGGGGCCTGTCCTGGAGCTCTCCATGAAGGGAGTTCAGAGAGGTGGCCTCACTCTATTTTAATTTTGGAGATATAAAAGACATGGTGTGACTAGCATTAAAAAGCCATTAAAATGGAAAGGAGTTATATGGTTGTTTTAGAGACAGTCTATGGGGGTGAAATTGAATAATTTGCCACCCATGTTATGAGAGACGCTGTGGCAAGGAGCCATGTGGAACAGAAGGATGTGAATCCCACAAGTGACAGGGCCTTCAGGAAGGAAGAGGCATGTTGGGAACTAGTGTGAGAAATGAAGGTTGGGAGGTAGAAATACTCCTACATTCTTTTTTTTTTTTTTTTTTTTTTATTTTGGTATCATTAATCTACAATTACATGAAGGACATTATGTTTACAGGCGCCCCCCTTCACCAAGCCCCCCCACATACCCGTTCACAGTCACTGTCCATCAAAGCATAGTATGATGCTGTAAAATCACTACTTGTCTTCTCTGTGTTGCACAGCCCTCCCCGTGCCCCCCCACTATACATGTTAATCATAATCAAGGCCATTTAAATTTAGTAATGATCATCTGAAGGACATTGAAGTGGAAGAGCCTGTGCCACGAGTGCCCTCAGGCCGTGCTGGTTCTGAGGGGAGAGGATTGTGAAGCATGAGATGATTTGCATCAAACACTTTGCTGGGATCCTGATACCAGCACTTGCAGTTTTTATTATTGTTGTCACTGGTGGAGGTACTATTCCCAGAATCG